GTAAAATAATTATCGATTTACGATAAACTATTTTGAAAAATATTAGCTATTTTTTAGTATTGCCTAATTTCTTTTTCGTAGCATATGAATTACGCATATTGATTTGGAAAACAAATGCATACGAATTTTAATAATATGATTGGTATTACATCGTAAATTACACAAATATTAACTTGACGTACAGATTAATATATTTCGTTTATAAGTTCATGGGTTTAATAATTCATTTAATAAAAAGTCATTACTACATTCGCCACAGTTTATGTGGTTGATACGTTTATATAGATAAAAATTTTGTATCACCTTTATAAGGAAGCGAGTAGAAAAGTTATAGATAAAGTAAAAGGATCATTAACGTCGAGTCTATTTTGAAGGTCGTTCATTCCTTAATTTAATAATTCAATTGAATTGACTGAAAATTTGTTTCATCATTCAGTTTGAGATACGTTAATGTAAGCAATGTTAGCGCTGGTGATATAAAAATGGAATAAATGCTCGACAATGTAATTCGAAAATTAATATTGTAATCCTTCAACAGATTTCACATTTAAAATTTCTTCTGCTTATTTGTTATAGGAATATTTATTTAACAGGCTAATTTATATTTAATAAATGAATAAATGGCAATTAACGTTTAAACGTCATTATTCATTCTAATACAATTGAAAAACATTAAGCATGTAAGTAAAATGTACAACTATTTAAATGCAAAATATTCAATTTGAATGCCATGTTTTTATCATCAAATTTACAATATTCTTTAACAGAAAACAGCCTTCCCAATGCAATATTATCATAACGGTATACATTAGTTTTTCCACAAATTCAAAACATATCACTAAAATATGCAGCTTATGATACTTTTTAACGAAATGAGATACGAAAAAACTAATCGTACCTTTTTAATTCAACTAGTGTTGTGAATTTTCCTTTTTCCTATTAATTTTACAATCCTGTTAGATGCTTGAATGTGCTTATATAAGAGAAGCAAAGCGATTCGCTAAGGCAAATGTTGCTGCTTCTAATGCATTTACGATTTATTCACGGGGGACCTAAATTATTATAGTAATCAATCAATCCATGCACGTAGTACGTTTTTATCTTACATTAAATACTCGATTTGTCTGTAAAGATGAATGCGCCCATCTGCCTATTTCCAGCAAATTCCAGTAAGCAATTCTAACTACATTCAAAATACATAGCATATAATCATACGCAAATTATACACTCTCAATTTACTTAACTTTAAAACTTCTATATTAGTGCCGTGGAAAATAATTTGATCCGTCCATAAAATTTCATTATTTTTTTATTCCTTTTCATTGTTATTATAATATGCCACGCAATTTATATTAAGCAGCTTTTTATTCGCAGTTTTCTTTTAAAAGAAAATGTTATAATTTTAAATTCAACCAATCAGTCAAAATAAATAAATTAATTAATAAAATAAAAATCAAAAAAAAAAAAAAAATAAAAAAATGAAAATATGCATTCTAAAATTATATAATAAATCAGAATTTTTAATTGATACTTAAATGGCTTACTGAAGATTATTGTATTGCTATCTTTAATTCTATAACGATGTTCGCTCTATCATTATTGCTTTCTGATATTGTTCTTCGTAATAAATGTATGTTACGCTTTTTATTACAAATGCATAAATATTTACAAATTCGCGGACATATTTATCGAATTAATGCTTTTAATTTCTGTCGTGATGATGAATCATGTCTATTACGTATTTTAAATATTATGTATTACAGCGTACTTTAATTACAGTTGTAATTGTAAACTTGTATTTATCTAACAACGCTGAACTTTGAAAGTAATTTAAGATAAAATGTACAAAAACATCGTGAACTTTTAAAATTTGTAAAGTCAATAGAAAGCTGTTAAAACTCGTAATACTAAAGCAAACGCGCTTATCATTTATCAAAATATATTTTCAAATCTAACGGCCTGAGAATACTTTCAATTTCAAGCAGCAAATTAATTGAGCTAATTAGCATTAATTATTGAAATTAAAACTTTCAAAAATTTTTATCGATTATTGACAGGGATTTTACAAATATTTATATAAGTATGTGGATCATCGTTACCTTAACGATTATAAGTTTGATTATTAAACGAATTTTTAATTTAAACGAAGTCTTAAAGCAAATTAATTTAATGCCAACAAAATATTAATCTAACTAATGAATAAATAATTGATTTGCTTGAGTCTATTTTTCTGACATCAAAATAACGCAAGCGAATGCATAACATTATATTGACATTAAAATAATATTGTAGATCAAACGAATAAATAACAATGTATAATGATCGGACTAAGCTAATTATTTTATTATTTTATTTTAAATGATAGATGAAGAATAATTGAATTTTAACAATTATAATAACAATTTTTTTAATTTATCTTTTGAGTAAGGGGAGCTAGTGATTTTTCGACGCATTATGAGACGAATCTAGCAAGTTAATACTTTTTGCTATCAAATTTTTATATTTTGCTAAAAATTTCTATTTGAAGTAAAATTGAATGAATTGAGTAAAATGAGCACACGCACACAAACACACACGCATGGTATATAAAGATTTTTATCGCTTCGTTTCTTTAAAAGATATAATTACAAGTATAATACAAGCAGTTGTTTCCAACTAATCGCCAACCATTTTTTTTTTCTCGCGAACGAGTGTTACAATAAAATGCAACCTCACGAAAAAAGTGCATTATTATTTTATGCGAATGCTTAAAATTCGGAATCAAATTGAAAACAAATGCGATCATGTGATAAGCTATTATTAACATCCGTAAATAATTCACTGACGATAAAGACATTGGGCGAAGCTGAATTTCCAAAGAAACATGCTGGCCCGCCGATTTCATAATCACTCGGCGATTATCAACGTAAGATCATTATAAACAAACTCGAATTAAAAATACATGAACTTGCGGCTCGATTTTAAAATCTAGTGACACATCAGTACTACATCGTACAAAATACAAAAAAAAAAAAAAAAAAAAAAAAAAAAAAAAAAGAAGAATAAATAAAATTCAGATAATCACGAACAGAGGCTATATTGCAGACGCTGAAAGTGAATTTACGTTAAATTCCTTTGCGGAGGAGCTTATTGTCATGTTTGCATCTGCGTCTTTCAAAACGGTAGAGTGTTATCAAATTATCTCCACGCTCGAATCCACGCGAGTTTTCATTTATTTGTTTACACACATATAATGAAGCGAAGACAATTTTGGCTGGCAAGTCGGCAAAATTCTCGATTCCCTAGAAGTATGCCCGTATGCTTGAGTAAGTGGCTCGGCCTTCGGATCCGCCATAATTTTTGAAATTCTACGTTTTGCAGGAATTCCGCGAGGGCCGTTCCCTCGGCTTTTTCCCTCTCAAGGAGACCTTCGGGGAAATCGAAACGGTGCGCGGATCTGCGATGGGAGGGGCGGGAGGGGGTTTGTTATTGGGCCCCGAAAGCATAGGTACACATTTAGAAGGTCCCAAGTGGGCGAGGCTTAATTGCCGTCAAGCGGAATGCGGATGGAAATTCTGAGGACTCGTTAAGAAATACCTAAGCTACTACGCGCTTTCGGTCATTAAAAAGTAACTCTCCTCCTCCTCCTCCTCCGCCCCCTACCCACACACACACACACACACACACACACACACACATCAATCCATCCGTCCATCCCGCCCCCTAATCAGAGCCCTATACCATCCCTACTCACTAGCCGCTCTCAATCTGTCACGTTTAGCGGCTCGATGCACGCCTAATGCGTTGGCCACGGATTCAACAAAAAAAATATTTGACAAAACAGGGACTCCTCGTCTTCTGGGACCTGACTCGGCAGCGCCAGCGCAAATGTCCCCGAATAGTAATATTTACCATATTTACGACGATGCGGAGCGCGTGATATTGTTTATTTCGAAACGCGTCCCCCCGGTGGTGAACTCGAGTTCGCCGCTCGACATCCGCGGACCTTAGTAACTTTTAATCCTCCAATCCTCCGGACGCGCCCGTCCAACGGGACGATGAACGACGATGAAGTCACTTGGTGCCGTTCGCAGCAGCTTCCCTTTCTGATGATGGCCAGCAACGGTATCGTCCAGCCAAGGGGAGTATCGGCGCGCCGGAAGTTCAGTCCGGGAAGGATGGACTCCCCGTACCAAGCGCGGCCCATTTACGAGAGGGGCCCGTCTCGGGAGAATGGCCGGGAGGACGGGACGCTTACCGCGATGACGGAGCCAAGAACGCAACTCGCCCGGGGCATGAAATGCGGCTCGCGCGCCTCCCGTGCGCATGCGCCCTCGCGATCTGCTCTCTCGTCTCGAGACTCTGGAATGCGTTTCCTCCCACCTCTTTCGAATGTCCCTCCTCTCCCCCGCCCACCCGTGCTCGCAACAACCCACGGCTTCGGCTCCGTTTCACGAGCATACCTGTGTGCGCGCGAAGGAAAGAGAGGAAGAGAAGCCAGTCCCTCTTCCTGGCCACCTCCTCTCGCTCGCTCACTCTCTCTCTCTCTCTCTCTCTCTCTCTTTCTCTCGCGCGCGCGCGCTTGCGCTCCCTCGTGCCCGCGCGCCACAACGTTATATGATTATCTTGAATTCCCGGAGAGCCAGAGTCCCTCCCTCCCACCCATCCCCCGTGGCATAGCTCCAATATACGTGCCCATGATATACAAAAAAGACAGACAGACAGGCATAGAAAGAGAACGAGAGAGAGAGAGAGAGAGAGAGAGAGAGACGGAGAGAGAGAAAAGGTACAGGAGAGCGTATACGCACCGAGGCTGCGTACTCGCCGACGCTTGGAAGAAGCGAGTGGCGAGAAGCGAGAAGCGAGAAACGAGAAGCGAGTGTGGCGAGAGGCAAGAGGCGAGAGGCGGTAGACTAGAGACGAGAGACCAAAGGCGAGAGGCAAGCACGCGATCTCGGAGGAAGTCGCGCACCCGGGAGTACGGGTGGCGGTAAAATTCCGCGTTGATCTACGCTAATCACCTGTGCATTGACTGGCGGTTGGCGGCGGCGGCTGCTGCCGCACTACGGCGGTGTGACGCAGGCTAGGCAACAGGTGGCCGAGGACGCTCCACGCGTTCGGTGTCAACCCTGGTAGCGGTGGTGGTAGCGCCGAACCCGAGGCCGCGCTCCTCCTTCCTGCACTCGTGCACCACTCCGCGGGTCCTCCTGCCCACACGCGCGCACACACACAGAGACAAACAACGTCACGTCGACCTGGAGTGACGAAGGTAAGGTCACGGCACGAGGGGAAGATCTTTCGATTCGGGGGTTCGAGCACAGTCGGCCCGCGAACCTCTCTACCTGGGACTACCGGCGGGGAACGACTGACTCTACTCTCTGTGTCGACGAGTGTCGCCGCAGCGGCCCGTCGTTCCGCGCACGATTACTCGCTGCCGCCACTGCCGCTGCCGCCACCGCCGTTGCCGCCACCGCCGCAACCACCACCACCACCACCACCGCCACCACCACCACCGCCACCACCACCACCGACACCACGGCCACTACCACCACTATCACCGCCACCACCGCCACCGTCACTTGACTGCGACTCACGTTGATCTCTCTCTCTCTCTCTCTCTCTCTCTCTCTCTCTCTCTCCCTCTCATCCAACCCAAACCGGCATGAACTTTGCGAGCGATGGGGCCGCGGCGGTGGGGAGCAGGCCCCAAGGAGGCGGATGGGTGGTAGGACGGAGCGAGGAGGAGGAGGAGGAGAACGCCGACCGACCGAGGGAAAGCGGAAAAGCGCGACGCTGCTTCTGATAATGCGTACAGTTGGACCGGTAGAAGCATCCGATTCTATATAGTAGAAGCGTGAGTCTATACTGTAGCAAGGCTCGAGGTCGCGGTGATGGAGCCTCCTCTCGAGGAAGTCCGACCGATGGCTACTCCTGAAAATCCGTCGACCGGCCGTGAAACGCGGGTGGAAACATGGCTGCTTTGTTAATGACGAGCTCGGCTGTCCATCGGAGGGCTGTCGAGGACCGGCCAATCACGAGGCTTTTTCTCTTCGACACCAGACAGCTTCTTTCTTGTTACATATTTTTGTAACATATCCATCTCTTCGAAGGACCTCTACAATTCGCCTTGTACATACTATCTCGTGCGCTCATAGTATCATTGACCAGGAAATAAATATGTCGGACTCGTATTTTTCGATTTATAAGCTAATTGCTAAAGATGAGATCGCATTTCCCTCATTACGATCAGCAGCAAAGTTTATCGGGATTTTGCACTCAATGCTAACATTACGTTACGCAACACTCGACTGTTTATTACATCATTTTCATATTTAATTTACAAATGGAATGGGCACTGTAAGAGTGATTGTTTATCAAAAAAAAAATATATATATATATACAACGTATAGCAAGGAATAATCGAATAGTGAAAAATTTTACGGATACTTCGATTCAATTCATTCGACTTTAATTACCTCAAAACCTTCGTTGCCACGTTCTATTTACGATCACTTATTTTCAGTAGTATAGATTTGACATATCTTTCTCTTATCTCTCATGCGTGCTTAATAAAGAGTTAAAAAAAAAAAAAAAATGAATATTTTACTGTGTTGACGTTAGAGTAGCGTCTAAAGTTTGAGCATTAATTATAATTCAATTGTAGCTTATACGAGGCAATACATTCTTAAATTTAAATATAATTTTATAGGAAAATAATAACAAACAACAACAACAACAACAACAACAAGGATATTAGGTATAATTAAGTAGAAACTTATGTATTCGAGTGGCAGGGGAAATAACGTTAATAAAAACATTTTTATTAAAAAAAATTTGTCCTCTTTTCAAATGTTAATAAACATTAATGAGATTTTTCTTTATAAACATAATATGTTAACTCGAATTTGATGCTTAAACATATTTTCATTATACCAGTATGAACAAATTTCCTATACCTCATTCTGACATCGAGACTAATAAATACAATTTTATGAAACGACAGTTTATAATGATTTATGGATTTTTCATTATAGTTTCAAGTATTTCAAAAGTAAATCACCTAGCCATTAACCAACATTTTTTTTTCTCTATTCCATATACATAGGTGGGAACTTGCGCTTTACGAAACAAATACTTTTACCAGTTCTGTCTTAATATACCAAATACTTTATCTCTAAATGTCTAATGAATCGATAAAGTTTTAAGGTTCTAAAGGCAAAATTTCTCATCGTTTCCAAAAATTTTAAATCTAAACAATAATCAAACGAGTAGTTAAGCCCATCCGAATAATTACAATTAATAGAAACAACGTCGGTCGAGTCCCTTAATTCAAATGTGGCTAGGTACATTTTATTTTATATATTTGTTGTCATTTTTGCCAAGATACGCATAGTAAGATAAATAATTAGCCAATGTTGTTATGTATAAAATGGCGGTAAAGTTTTCTTTCTTTCGTTCTCTCTTTCTGTAAGCATATTCATAAAGAAGTCATGAAGGTTAATAATGCTAAAAATGTCAAAAAGTATTCGGCACCAGCTGCCTTAATTTGCGCAATGTGGCAAAAGCGCCAATGTACAACTTTGTCCGGTATTTATTTATTTATTTTTTTTTTTTTTTGCTCGAATGCTATGCAGGCAAAATCATTAATATCTTATAAAAGAGTGATTTCTGCCGAAAATGCGAGTATTGTTCAGGAGTAAAGAGTATTGCAAATTATAAAATAACGCGAGGCCTGAGACGCACTGTAGAGTCATACGAGAGGAATTGATTGACTTTTAACGTTCGTATGGTTATGGTTACGCAAATGGTAAAGTCGAATTTATAGTGCAATTATCAGTTATTAACTGCAGATAAATTAACAGCTATCAAAGTCTTACACAAAGATTCTGAGTAGCAACAATATTCTGACTAACTATACGGCTTCGATCAAAAACAATAATAAAAATTTTCAATCTGCTTATTTGGAAAGCTACGTCCAAAACAGCACCAAGTTACGTAATTATTGCAAAAACAGTAGCACATGTACGTTTCTTTATATGTTGTTTTGACCGATATTTTCAATTTTATGCGTGAAAAATCGAAATTCTTTATCCGACCAACAAATTTGTGCTATCAATTAATATCTTTACAAACATTACAAATTAACAATTAAGAACCTCATAATTTTTATATAGAATTAAAATTTTTCTGTTTTTCTTATTTTCGAATGTTAATTGGCGTTGTAAAGCACCTCTTTACATACGTCTTATGCAATCATTTGAAATTATTGCAAATAAAAGTATTAGTTATTTATCAATCTTCAAAGCGTAGTTATAATCTTAGTAAAAATAGCAATATTAATGATTAAAATCTATATAGGATATAGGATTTATTTTCATTGATTATGCGCGAGCCTGAAAAGATAAATTAGGCAACAAATTCGACAAGATATTACGGCGTAGAAAAAAAAGGATAAAACTTGAAATAAAGAATAGAGCAATTGATTTTTACAATTATTTTTTTTTTATTAATAATTTCGCAGCAGTGATTTTCGCTACGCGAATTTCACAAAAACTATACAAATTAATAAAATTTAATTAAAAAAATACTTTTGATTATGTAAACTGACAGATCATTAATTAGCATAAAATTATAATTTAGCGTATATAAATCGACAAGCTTATCTAAAAGCTCTGTCATACAGGTAGTTGGAGTCAGAAATTTTCATATTTTATAATATCCTTGATGTCTTCTAATTACAATATCAATAGCAATATATATATATATATATATATATATATATATATATATATAAAGTAAAATTTTTAATTCTATGTCATTTGTTTCTTATTACAGTGATTATATGACCGGATATTTTACATGATATTATGTATTCAAAAATAATGTTTTTCGTAAGAAAGAGTTTAATGATTTTGTGTATTTATGTTTGTGCGGGCGCGCACGCGTGAACGTACGTGTGCGTATACTCTGGTAAAATATAAAGCGAGCAATTACAGATTCCGTTAACATAATTTCTAAGTAATTAGATATTTTAGTATTTATTTAATCCGAAGCGGAAATGTTTGCCAATAACAATCAAAAGTATGCAAAAATATATTATATTCTTATGTTATATGTACAAACTGTTACTTTTGAATATTTAACGAACGCAAACATTTCGATTTCATTGAAATTCATACGGACATCATTTGAAATTTACTACGTCATTGCGCAGATATTCGTCTCCTTAAGTTTAAATCTAAAATGCATTTAGACATATTCTATTCACCAAGTTTGTAATTGTTATAAACTTAGCTGCTATTCGTGAGAATTATACAGAAAGTACTGAACATCAGTGTATTTGTAGGAACGATAATGTAACGTAAGTATCGTTTAAATCACTGAAAGATATTTAAAAAAAAAAAAAAATGCAAGAAATTTAATTTAAACACAAGTATCATAATGTTTTTCAATAAAGGGTTTCAACGATCATCGACATTAATATCATTAATTATTTCTCTATCTATAATCATGTTTTGACCATTATATATTTTATATTTTATAAATTATTTAACTATTTGTCAGTGATTTATATATAGTTTTAAGGAATTTACGTACGATTATCGAAAAAACGAGGCACATCCGACTTAATAGAATTTACTAGAAAATGAAAATACATATAATGTGATATACAGTTCATACTAGGTTTCTAGCTTTATAAGCATTATATACGAATTATAATCAAAAACATATATATATATATATATATATGTTTAATCAATAATATGTATAAAATCATAATTTTTCATATGTACAAATAAAATTACTCCATAAACTAAACTATTATGTAGAGAGATTTAATAAAAATCCACTGCGTAACGAGCGCATTGTTATAATTAAGCTATAATTTATTTATTTAAACAATTTTAGAAAGTCAATTATTTTAATCAAGTTTATAAGAACATGCGTAAATTATAATAAAGGTAAATGAAAAACATTGTTAACCTCAAATATTTCTCGAATATGATCCCTTAATTTACGATAATCATTCATGTGATTGAAAAAGATCGATTCAAGAGTCGACGATATAACAAGAAGGCTGTAATAGTGAATGTAAAAAATTATTTTAATCATTTATTATATTTAGTATTAAATTTTGTTTGTTTGTATGCTTAATAAAATGGTTAATAAATAACACATTTAATATTAGTCACTAAAATTGAATCGTGTGTAATTAATTAAAAAATATCATTCGATTTTAATACCATCATTCATTAGAAATTGCTATGCTAATAAATATATGATGTAGACCAGTTAAATAAATTCAAGTAAATAAACAAAATATTAAATCAAACTATCATTATAGCATTAATTTCATTTTTATCCCTAATTGTAAAATAAATTTTCCACGAACTTGTATTGTAATATCCACTTATCTTGTATGTTCCTTTTACAACAAAATTTTCTAGATACGTGCAAATATTTATAATATTGTTTCTCCATCCAATTAGATAATGCCGACAATATGTATCAATTTATATTTTAATCAATATATGTTAATCAATTTGAGGATTATTTTTATATTTATCTAATTAGCATTCAATTAATCCAATAAGAATCTTCATCATTTCAAGAGCTCTTATCATCTTTTCAAAATTCTCTTCTGAAAAAAATAATACAAATAATTATATATCCATTAGGATGGATTTTTTTTTACCTCCAAAATGGTTTTCAACAGTAATTGTTGGTTATTTTTAATCATTCAATCCACACACGCAGCACGTTTATTCCCTTAAATCTTCAAAAATTCATAAAGATGAGTTCGTTCGTATACCTGCGTACGGAAAATTCCGGTAAGCAACGGTTTAATATTATTATCACGAATTATATATTCCTGAATATATACTTCACCTTAAAGCTATTTTGTGTGCGTGCGTGCGTGCGTGCGTGCGTGCGTGCGTGCGTGCGTGCGCGTGTTTTTTTTAATCGATCCAGTTTTGTATCGATTGTATTATTTTGATAGCTTAATAACTTGAAAGAATTTCATACAGATTGCAAAATATTTTATGGAAAAGTTAAATTATTTGGTATAGAATAAAATGATCATAACGATGAAATATGATTTCTGCAAATAAATGTGTTGTTAATTTTTTTTTTTTTAATACCGCAATGTCATTTCTGAAAATGACTGCTATTGATTTTGTCCATTTATCCAAATTGTCATGCTTACATTAATTATTTATTTCAGGATCTTGGATAGCCAGAGGCACATTCTCCAGACATACTCGTACGTCAATGTACGTATTAGGAGATAAACGAGCGTCTGCCTTTGTCGCAAAACGGATTAGGATGCATTAATGATTAATCGAAAAATGATAGCCGATTGTGTATGGTATTGCGATCACGTGTATGAATGCCTTTTCGTAAGAAGAAAAATGTTACTGAAATTAAATCCAAGAAATTCAAAACGTTCCTTTATTTTCTTGCCGCATTTTCGCTAAGAGCGAATAAATGCTCGGAGCATACAATTGCCTGCGTGACTTGGTAGTCAAAGAAAATTTATAGTGCACTATCTTTTCATTTGAACAATGATTTTTTCTACGACGTCATGCAAGAGTCAAATTACTTTTATTTTTTTTTTTTGTTGAAGATGTAATGCAATTATTTTGAATTTCATAAAATAGAACTCAACGTTCAAATCACTCTATTATAAAAGCAGAAATTATGATTTTTAAATATGCCTGCACCGCTACAATCCATAAATATAATATTCTAATTCTAATAGAGAGTATGAGAAAAGTTTGAGCGAGTTCATTTTTTTCTTTTAACACTTATCTCTATTCTGTCTCTCTCTCTCTCTCTCTCTCTTTCTCTCTCTCTCTCTCTGAATTTTATCTAGATAATAATTTTGTCATATTTATTTCGACGGTATGGAAAATTTTCAAACACATCAACCGCGTAGATTCTACATTATAGACAAAGCCACACATATTAAAACATCGACTTAATTTGACGTTCGTTTGTATCTCGTATTTCTTCATGTTCCCTTAATCAGGCTTTTTAAGCTCGCTAATAATACGTTAAAGTTTGATCATCCTCATGAATTTTAATGATTTCGAACGATGTAATTCATCCACCTATTCCAAAATCTTTAACATACGCTCTATTTTACGAAGACCGAGTGCACAATGTGATTCAGCTACGACTTTGTTTGAATAATTTCGAATATCAAGCCGCCATCACATTGTAAAAAACAAAATAAAACAAAAAATAAACAAACAAACAAACAAAAACAATAAAATAAACAAAAAAACAAAAACAAAAACAAAAACAAAAACAAACAGAATAATAAAATAAAAGAAGACAAAAAAGAAATGAAAAAGAATCTTGGAAAAGATTAATCGACTCTCGAAGGGGATATCGTGTCATTGAAATTAAAAAAGCAGCACTTACGAAACCTTTTCTTTTTCTTCATTTTGTCTAGTGCATTTTCATTGAAAATATAAATTAACTGTAAATTTAATTACTGTTGTTACAGCGTGACAATATGATTACCTGCCTGCCACGCACACGCAGATTCCTTACGACGCGACTTTCACACATGCTCGAGGCGTAAATACTCTTCCGACTTTTAATTTAACGATTTTGCTATAAATACGGCTATGTAAAAAAGTTGAATTTTTACGACCTCGCTTTATGTTTTTAATAGCATTAATACGTAGCATTAATAAATTTCTTCTTCGATATGCCATGACCTATGGGTTGTCGATATGCCTTAAAGCAATTTAAGAGCAAATAACGTCAACGACTGTATTTATTTAATGTATTTAAAGTTGCAAGTGACATTGGATTATTCTCCATCATCGTTCGACAAAATTCCAATGCAAAAGTGGCCCCAAAATCTATTTGTGTCGTGACGATTTTTGTTGGAAATTAATGCTATTGGCAAGCACAATGGCTCACTTTGTCACCGCGGCAATTAATCGGCGTTTAAGCTTCTTTTTCACAACTTTACCGCACTGTGCGCCAACATTTTTCTTTATTTTTCTTTCTATTTCTTTGTTTTTCGTCAACAAATACGTGGCCTTGCAACCGAATAATATCGTCACTGCTCGACGAGGCGCAGAAAAATCCTTATTTTTATGAACCTATAAAGTTTCGAGACGTTCGAACTCGGCAGGTAGATAGCGCTTACACACGAATTCACGAGGCGATAAACTCGAGTCGCTTGGTGGTAATCTTCCACCGAGGATCAACGAGGAAGACAATAAATATTCAACCGAAAAGCCAACTGTCAAAGTATAAAAAAATACCAGAAGTCTTATGCAAAACAATCCTGTAAATCAATCAAGAGCTTATCGCTTCACTCGGGCGCACCACCGATAGTCATCTACGATGCTTTTCGGCCTAAGATGAAGGTAGTAACGGTGAGGCCGAAGACGTCTGCCGTCCGCAGCCGAGATATTACTGTTTGCCGAGATAACAATGCGAGGGGCCGTGTCGGTGACTGGGCCGTTGAGGGGCACGAAAGAGGCCCGGGAGAGCGAAAAGGTTCGGCCAAAGGGGCCCAGGCGTCAAAGCCACCAGCAACGACGCCGAGGGTGAAAACGAGGCAGTGGAAAGGCAGTGGAAAGGTGCAGTCCCCCGCCTGACGCGTTTCTCAGCTGCGCACTCGCTATTATACGACAATGGGGATTCGGAAAGGCAACGGGATTCCGCGGGCGGAGTGCGGGCGAGGGTCAGGGTCAGGGTCGGGAGGGAACAAAGGTCGTTGGGAAATTTGGCGGACCGCGTCCCCGATCGGACGGGCCGAACGCAGGCCCCGGGGACCGCTGCGGGCGAGCCCCTGACGCCCCTCGTCGAATGCCAGAACGGGCGCCCTCACAGCCTCGACGGGAAAAATGCGATTGGCGCGAGGGAACGAGAGAGAGAGAGAGAGAGAGAGAGAGAGAGAAACTATTGCAAACGCAACTCTTCACGTTGCAGAGGAACGGACCGAAGGCTCAGCGAGAACGGTGGCGCCACCTATCGTCCTCACCGGCAAAGCGCCAATGCTCCGGATTCCTCGAGCGGACCTCCAGTGGACCGACCGTTCGTTATCGACGACGACGTCGTACTCGTGAGCTCGTCCACGGTGACAAAGGATCTGGCTCGCTCGTCCTTGTTCGACGTGATACGAGAGCATCACACGGAAACTCCACGCGCAAACGGCGAGAGAGAGAGAGAGAGAGAGAGAGAGAGAGAGAGAATAAAAAGAGCCATGGCTCGCGACCCCCACACCAAATGTCGTGCGCGTGTTGTGCGCGCATCTGAAAGGGGACAGGTGGAGGAGGGGTTGTACTAGGAGTGCGAAGCGTGACGTAAACGGTGTGCGCGATCGAGCCACGGCGCAGCAGCAGCAACAACAACAGCCACCACCACTACCACCACCACCACTACTATCGCTACTTCCACCACCACTACTACCTCTGCCACCACACTACCACGGCATTCACGACGACCACGACTACTAACAACAGCAGCAGCAGCAGCAGCAGCAGCAGCAGAACCAACGGCAGCACCAACAGCAGCGCCAACAGCAGCAACAGCAGCAGCAGCAGCAGCAGCAGTAACGACAGGGACAGCAACAACAACGACAGCAACAGCAGTAGCACTAGCAGCAGTGACGAAGACGTTAATCTAAACAAGTATCAGCTGTGTGGCAGGGGCAGTCATTGTTCCAACGTGTGAACATCTCAATTCAATCCTGTGCTCGCTACGTACACCTCCGCTCTTACAACCTGGGCTCCTTCCCCGGATTTGTGATAGTACCAGAAACAGCAGGAACAGCAGGGACAAGAACAAGTGCTCGGGAACGCGAGCTAGGCACTCGGCCCGCCCGGACGCGACGTACGCCGTGGCCAGGGCCGAGAGTGCGCGCTGCCTACGACGGACGACGCGCTGTTCTTCTCTCCTCGAACCATTCTTCCTCACGCGCTCTCTCTCTCTCTCTCTCTCTCTCTTTGTCCAATTGTGCTGCTGGTGTGCGCCTATGGTCTCGCGGAAGATCGTGAACGAGGGAGAGAGAGAGAGAGAAGGTGCGAGTGCGTGCGCGAACGAGCATAAGTAGAGACAAGCGAGTGTCGCGATTCGCGAAGTCACTTCGGGGGAGCTTGCGACTTGTCGAGCTTGAGACCTAGTCGGAGGCAGCAGCGGAGCAGCACCGAGGGTCGCGGGGCAGCGCGCGCGCGCCCACCTTTCAGAGGAGGACAATAATCTGTGGCGAAAAAAACGGGGTGGTACGCGCATAAGCCTGGCCTCGAGCGGCGAGTCCGACGACGGTGGGCTCGCTCCGCCACCGCGCAAAAGGTCCCGTAGTTCGTTACCAACTACCCAGAGGCCAGCTGCCGCGGCGGAACCGCTGCTGCACTCCAGCCAGGAGCAGCGCACGGAGCAGACCCACCGTAACGACCAACAAGACGAAGAACAACAAAACGCCAAAGACATGGACAATTATCGGTGAGTACTGTGTGCGCTCCGATGCGCTACTTCATCTCCCTTTTGCCCCGTACCTCGTGTTTGCTGTTCGTAGTCCCCCGCACCTCTCCCACCCTCCTCCGTGCCATTCCGTTCTCTTTTCACTGCCTACTGCCCACTGCCCACTACCTACTGCCCCTACCCCTTTCACGTCCTTCTCCCCCTCCCTGTCGCCGACCCCATTCCCATTTTCGTCCTCATCTTTATTCCCGTCGTTGTTACCATCGTCATCGTCGCCGTCGTTGTCGTCGTCGTCGTCGTCGTCGTCGTCGTCGTCGTCGTAGCAGCTCGCGCCGTCACCGCCACCATCGCCATCGCCATCGCCATCGCATCGCAATCCCCTCTCCGCTCCGCCCCCCTTCTTCTCTTCTTTTTGTTGTTGCCTGGGCCCGCGGGTGCCAGCGCTTGTCAGATCTTTATACGTCCGTACGTGACTGTGTACATGACATTATACATGCGCATGTATAATACGGGCACCTACGAACGGCTTGTGTACGTCGCGCACACACCCACATCGCGTACGCGACTGCGCTCAGTGTGCGATCGACACACAGGACACACACGCGCACGCACACGATAGAGCGCCCGCAGAACGCGCGCCCGCAGAACGCGCGCATACGCACACACATGCACACACACACACACACACACACACATGCACACACGCGCACTCAACACAGGCAAGCACTCAACGTGCACGTCTTATCGTCTCGCTTCGCTCCTTTTTATCTATAATTAGCTTACTTCTTTCTCCTTTTCCATCGTACGCCACTACGAGCGTTTCTTCTTTTACCTCGAGTTTGTGTATTATTTTGCAGTTCTCTGAAACAGTGTGAAATTTTTCTGCATTATATAATGAATCCTTTAATCATCGACAAATGTATCTGATAGTGGCTTTTTGTGTTTGCAAGCAGTATGATGCAGCAGGGTGCCAATGGTGCAGCAGTCTGTCCGGGAATGCAGCAAAATGGAACTGTATCGGACTCGGGTGGAGCACAGACCAATGGCAACATTGCTACCGATGCGGATGGCGATGCTGCTGAGGTTAACGGAGAGGAGACCGAGAGCATACCAGCCAAGATTATGGACAAGACCAATCAAGACATCGTTAGGCTCATTGGTCAGCACTTGAAAACAGTAGGACTCGAGTATGTTGCGTTTGAGCTTGGTCGGCTGGTACTTAACCACTGGCGACGCTGTGTGGTGTTGTCTTTAGCGGCGAGTGTTATATTACCTTGTTCTCTTTGTAGCCGGACAGCTGATTTGTTGATGCAGGAATCCGGATGTCGTCTGGATCATCCAGCGGCTGCAAAGTTTCGCCAACATGTGATGGACGGTGATTGGACCAAGGCTGACCATGACTTGAACGAACTTAAAGGATTTTTGAACAGCACCAATCAGAGTCTCGTCGTAAGAATTACCTTGTCTATAATGCAGCGACGATAGTGCAAGCCAGCATCTTATATCTTACGTCTGATTGTAGGAAATGAAGTTCTTACTGCTAGAACAAAAATATTTGGAACACTTGGAGGATGGTTTGGTGCTGGAGGCGCTTCAAGTTTTGAGGAACGAACTCACACCATTGGGTCATAATACCGGTCGTGTTCATCAGCTCTCTGCGTTTATGATGTGCAGTGGGAGGGACGAGTTACAGGCAAGTCTCGAACTTTGTGAAAATCATGTGGTATTTGAGGTTCTTGCGTAAGCCAGGCATCAGCCACGCGCTAAAGAAAATACTTTTCTTACAGTCTCGTGCTAATTGGGAAGGCAAAGGCCTGGCTTCGAGAGCTGCCTTAATGGACAGATTGCAAAGATACCTTCCACCGTCTATCATGCTGCCTCCCCGTCGCCTACACTTCCTTCTTTGTCAAGCAGTGGAAATGCAAACCCAACAGTGCACTTATCACATTTCTCAAACACAGGTTTCATTACAATATTATATCGATTATTGTTATGTTTGCCAATGCTATTCGTTGGTCGTGGTTATGGACGAATGTTGCTAAGGCATTAAGACCGACAGACACTCTCTCACCAAACCTTTAAAATTCCTTATAAATTTCTAATATCTAGACAAACCTGGAAAATGTCTCGCTACTAGTCGATCACACGTGCAGTAAAGAGCAATTCCCATGTCACACTATGCAAATACTCAATGACCATTGTGACGAAGTGTGGTATTGCAAATTTTCGCCAGATGGGCTTAAGCTCGCTACAGGCTCCAAAGACATGTCGGTCATAATTTGGGATATCGATCCTGTAAGTAAACAAAACTAGTGTCAACGTCGCATCTCATCGTTTTCTTCATCAAATTCCATAATTTTATTTGTGCTTTCAACGCGCGTTCAGGAGACTTTACGAGTAACGCATAGAAAAACCTTGGAGGGGCACACGTACGGCGTAGCACTGATCGCCTGGAGTCCCGATAGCAGTCACTTGATCGCATGCGGTCCGGAAGATTGTCCAGAATTATGGCTGTGGAGTGTCGATACACCCGATTGTGAATTGCGAGTGAAATTAACCCAGAGTACGGAAGACTCGTTGACCGCCTGTGCTTGGCATCGCGATTCTAATAAATTTGTTACGGGTGGATTGCGTGGACAATTTTACCAATGTGTGAGTAATTATTAATCATCGCTTTTCGCAATTCTTAAAAGGTGAATTGCACGTCAAGCTATATTATTAATATCTCCCTCAGGATATGGAAGGTAATGTTTTGGATTCGTGGGAAGGAGTTAGAGTGAAGAGTCTTTGGTGTCGAAGCGATGGAAAAACGGTATTGGCCGCGGACTCTCATCATCGCATTCGTGGCTACAATTTCGACGAGTTAAGCGAATTCACAATGTACGTAGAAGTGATTGTGACTTAAATATTGCATTTTCGGCGAGCATGAGATAAACGAGGGTGATTTGAAAAATTTTAGCTTGCAAGAGGATCATCCGATTATGTCCTTTAGCGTAAATAAATCGGATCGTCAAGCTTTATTGAACGTTGCCCATCAAGGTGTTCATCTTTGGGATTTGCAGGATAGATGTTTGATCAGACGTTTTCAAGGAGTCACTCAAGGGCATTTTACCATTCACAGTTGTTTTGGAGGCGTTAGTCAAGATTTTATTGCTTCGGGCAGCGAAGGTAAGGATTTAGCATTCTCGGGCAGGGGAACATTATACGTCATACAAGAGTAAGAGAAGCAGCTCACATTTACGTAATACGTATCTCTTTTTATCCGTCAGACAACAAAGTTTACGTATGGCACATAAAGAAAGAGTTACCCATAGCCACACTAACGGGACACAGCCGAACGGTTAATTGTGTTTCCTGGAATCCTGTTTATCATCAAATGATGGCTTCAGTTTCAGACGATTGTACTATAAGAATATGGGGACCTAAGACCTCATCCGCGGAAGGTATACAACGAGAATTTCTTTAAATGGCCGTAATAAAGCATGTCAATGTGAATTTTAATCCAACAATTTATACTCTATTAAGGCTTTGGTGAATTATAATTTTTTAATTTAGAATTTTAACGTTATTTTTGTCATTTAATTGATTAACTTATTTGAGCAGTAAATTTTACAGTACGATATCTTTGGTTTATTCAACTATACTTTAACAAATCAATGATTATTACGGTTAATTTAATTTTTCAATAAATTAATTCTGTAGATAAATTAAAATCTTCAATAATTGCTTGTAAAATTCTAGTTGTGAAATTAAATTGTTTATTTACGTGAGTTTAACATTAGAGTTTAACAATCTTTTTAGGGTAAAATTCACAGCTTTCATTATTATTATCATTGTTATTATCATTGCTGTTGTTATTATGGATATAAATGCTCCAAAATGACAAATGTTAGTTTGCAATAAGATTGTTGTAATCATTAAACCATTTCAATGTATTTACAGCTTCGGAGAACAACACTTCAAATGGTAGTGGATGGCATGAGATGGTATCGTAGCAAACGTGGTCCCAATCATGTTCCCATAGCCCAATGGTGTTCAAAAGACTGTCGTGTTGACTATCACTTGAATTCTCCTCACCTTTAATAATTTTGTTACATGTCACGGCTACTGACACTATCGCGCGATCCCCTCGTGTGCTAAGATGCAGTGTGTCAAGAAATATGATCAAGAATTCAGTTGTTCAGTTATAATCGATTGAAGAAAGAACTGAAAAAAAAGAGCAATCAAGTGATACTTGAATATTGTGACTTCATTATTCTCGCTTCAGTGAGTCGCGAATCTATAATATGAATATATAACTAAATTAATTTACTAGTTCCTGGTAAAATGATTTTTATTTTCTTTCGCTAAATTTAAAAATCTCATAGCTTATACATTGAAAAAAAAAGAAAAAAAAATGGAAAAAAGACAAAAAAAAAAAAAAAAAAAGAGGATAAAAAAGGAATAGAAAACTTTCAGGATTCATATAAAAAATATCGGAAAATTTTTTTGCCAGGATATTTATTAGACTGCTAAAAACACGTGATTATTGAAGATGGAATATGGAATACGTTGACAAAATAAAAAAAAAAAATAATAATAATAAACGTAGAGTTAAGATGTCATGTAATCATTAAAATGATTTAATAACTTTTTAAATATGCAATTCGTCAGGTACATAAATTTGAAGTTTGTACAATAAATTTGTTTAATTTTAATCATAAAAGCTTGGCATGAAATTCTATACTGTGCCAATATTAAGTTTTAATGACACCAAAATTAAAGAATAAATAATGCCTTGACTTTTTTCAAAACAAAAAACAAAAAACAAAACAAAAAGAGAAAAACAAAACAAAAAGAGAAAAACAAAAAATAAAAGGAAAAAATTATAAATAAAAAATATAAAGTACATATTTTGCATATGCTTTGTCGTTAATGACTTTTAGCAATCCTTTATCTAGATAGAAAAACTAACTTTTTAAAAACAATTTGCTCATCAATCGTTCATAGCATTACATTAATTCACACATATAATGGCATTTATATTTGCCATATACTATGAAAATTATTCAATTTAGATAGAAGCGATATTTGAATGTCAATATTGTATTTCGAAATTTATTATTTTTAGTTAGAAAATTGTTTTGCAATACAAATGCACCATTTTTATTATTACAATAATAAAGATATGTATATATAATGATTTCTGATATAATGAATTTAAGGTATTGTTAATTTGGAAAATTCAGATAACATATTAATCTCGTCAGCCGTCATTTCCATTTATATTGATCATAAGGGAGCGAGACAAAAATTTTACTGCAAAAAATCAAGGTTTAATATGCACAAGTCGAAAATTCCACTTTGGTCATAGCCTATCCCTAGTCCTCTACGTCTTTTCTATATTCTTAGAAATTGTGGATGTTTATAGTAAGTCCTCCAGTGATTAAAGTTGCCTTATTAGCTATTCTTTAGACTCCTAACTAAGAGTCTATGAATGGAGGGATATCTCATCACTGGATATATCCAAACACCAATAGATTGCCATCTGCAATCCACGTGATTCTTCAGTACATCAGTGTTCCTGTCCTACAATGAGTAAACCGTTCTCACTCGGTCTAATGGTATATTTTCAAAGTTATTAAGTCATAAATGAATTAACAAAAAAAAACAAAAGAAAAACAAAAAACAAAACAAAAACAAAAAAAAAACAAAAAAAAAACAAAAAAAAAATTGCGATAATTTTCAAGGAGTCTGCTTTACGATAGAAATATACAAGAAGATCCTGTTGTCAGTCACCATCGCTAAATCTTGAACGTTGAAAGCCAAAAAAGATCTGATTCACCTTAATCATAAGGTTAATTGGTATATTGCATAGAGACTATATTATTATTTGTGCGTAGAGCCAATGTTCACAATAATAGATCCATTCTTCTTTGGTATTTAAATTCGATTTAAATTATTTTAAGAAACTGCACTTATGGCGACATGTTCAAAGATTTTTATTCCTACAACTTGCCATCACAGTCAAATTTGCAGTTTAATATCAAATTGGCATTCGTGTTGTTAGCTCATAAGCTAATATAACATTAAAATGTCGATACAAGGATTCAATTATTATTGAACTTAAATTAATTTTCTACGTAGGCAGTCTTGAAATCATAATGAAGAGTAATCGAGAGTCGCAAGCTCTACATATTACTAAGAGTCTTTTACAAATTTGAGTAATGCTCGTTCGTTTAAATGTGCGAAGGCATTTGGAATACTCTTTGCCAAAATATCACAATGATCAAGATAATTTATTAAATATATCATAGATATTTGATTAACGATAAAAGTGCGAAAGTACTCTCTCACGCCATGTCATATGCAATGATTTTTTTTTTTTTTTTTTTAAGTATTAGCACGAGTCAAATTGTTGTTTGGTTAATTAATTTATAAGTAACTCTTTTTGTTTTCTTCGAAAAACTAAATTTTTAATTTTTTATACATGTGCAATTAATTCATTAAATTTATTATTATCATAAAAAAAGTTGAGTGAATTTTAAATAATACTTTTTTTAATTTGGTCAATAATAAATTCAATATGCAATGGCCATAAAGGGAAAAACAATTTGTTTTATAACAGGAGCCAATCCCTCCGTCAATGCGTCAATGTCTAAGTCAATTTCTGCTAATTTATCAATAGTTGCGATTTTGTAACTTGTTAAAAAAAAAAAAAAAAAAAAAAAAAAAAACCATTGCGGTATAGAGTGCAGTTTCACGCAGTAAATCAATCATCTTTCAACATCAATTACCTTACACACAATATATTTCGAAATAATCGTTAATTATATTTCAATTGTACTAATTCTCAATATGATCCACACTCTCGCTTTCTACGTTCGATCTTGAAATGGTACCGACTACTGCATACAAGTGCCGATTCCTTGAAATAATTGTTTTTCATAATTGTAAAAGAGATGTTAAAAATTCAAGTCTTTATATTAAAAAGAAAAGCAAAAAACCTATTTTAAGGCGTAACTCGTTTATAGATGCTTCTAGTTTTTATTATATAAAGAATATTTTTAAATTGTGTAATATTAAAAGTGATCTCAAACTAGTAAAGAGCTATTCCACGATGTGTATTCGAAAGGGATAGAGGTCAAGCGAAAAAATTCTTCATCATCGAAATGAAATTGTGTATGGTAGGTTTACAATAACAACGGGTTATTTAATTATATATAATCATTGAAAGGGGTAGATAAATAAAATATCTTGGTAATCTAGTTAATTTAGATTAGGAAACAATTTATAATTTTGCAATAAAATACGCGAATTGCAATTGAAGGATTATTGCAATAAGAGACAGTAAAATTATTATTTATATTAAACAGAATGATTTTATATTATGTATTATATAAATAGTTCAACATCTATATCTGTGAACTTTGCATTTGTCTCGTTGATTATTGCACAGCTCTTATTATAATAATGTTAAATATGATAAATAGTGATGACTTCCAACGGCTGTGCCTTTGTTACATCGAGTTACGTCGATTCTATTGCCAACCAAAGTATTCACTAAAATTTCTTTTATTTTAATAATACGTTTATTTACGAATATTGATGCAAATAACGTCGGATATTTATTCAATTAATCGTTCAAACTTATTTCACCCTATAACCAGTAGTGCCAAGCATTTGAAAATTATAGATGAAAAATCGTATAGGAATGTTAGAAAAAGTTACCGCGACGATCGTTGCAACATTTATTTCTGCATCATCGTGAAATATGAAAGTGGTGGATAAAATAAATAATGACAATGCGTGCACGCGCAATTTGAGCTCAATTATAATGTCTTTATTTTCACTTACATAATGTCGAAAAATTTTATTAACGATAGAATTGCGTTGTATTAAAATTAATCAATTGTTTATGTTTAATAAAATATTATAATTAATTTAAAAGAAAAACTTAATTAAGTAACAACTCAGTAAAAAAAAAAATATATATATATATATATATATATATGATATAAAATTGTATTTATCATATAATTATTATTAATAGGCATTTAACTAATTATTTTAATTACTAATAAAAAAAAAATTTTTTTTTTCAATAGGCTTGGAGGGTTATAAAATTGCACATTTAAGTAAAATTACATTGAGATATATTTTGAAATATATTTATTGCTACTAATACTGTCTTCTTTTTTTTTTTTTTCTCAAAAGAAGTATAAATAATTAAGTGAATAAAGACGAAAAATATAACGATTATTTAGCAAAATGTTTTATTATTATATTTCATTTATAGAAAGATCCTTTAAACAAAAGATAAATAAAATTCAATAAATGCTTATTAAATGCAATGATTATCGAGACAATTGCAATGCTTTAATTGCATATATAGAAATCGAGGTAGATACCAGCGATATGACTCTTATGTGGTCGTTGGTGGACAAACAAACGAACAAAAAAAGAAAAAAAAAAGTAAATGAAAAGTTGAACCCGAATGAAGAAAGAAAATGAAAATTGTACAGAAAATTTTTTCATAATAAATACACATAATTTTGACAAAGATACTTATCAATTACAAAGATATATAATGTAAATGTTCAATTTTCAATCATGTATTATTCAATCATAATTGTACATGTAACACGTACACGATACAATAGTCATCGACTGCTGGATGTACTTTGAGTGCCTTAGCTCTTGTAACTTCTATAATTAATCGTTTGAACTTCTGCTCTCGAGCTATTCCCGCCGATTACTTTGATTGCTCTTTAAAGCACTGATTATTCCCGGCGCACTATTTTCGTTATTATAATCTCGATAATTATGTCTTTTATTTTCTTCTTATGTAACACTTTCATCGGATAACAGGAAGGACCTTATCCGTAATGATGAATGGCGATGCGCATCGTTACTGGAACAATAATGCGTCGTTAAGAAAAGAAAAAAAAAGAAAAAGAAAAAAGAAACTAAAAACAAGATAAGATAAAAAGAAAGAAAGAAAAAAAAAAGAAAGAAAAATGAAAGAAAAAATATGTCCGGTCTCGCCTTTTCTCTTTTCGGTGGTAATCACTTTCTCTGACAGTTATTATATCATGTAACTGTACGAGCTCGAAGTGCTTGCCCATTGTCTCATGCTTTTGATTAAAATATGGATTTAAATTATTATCGGCTGGCATCCTATTATTAGAAAAATACAAATATACCGCAAACAATGAACAGAAAACATTTTCAGAACAAATGTTCTAATTTTGTTTTAATAGACGGAATGGTGGCGTTGTTAAAATAAATTGTGAACAAGTTGTTGAGTTTAGCAAATAGACAGGAGCTCGAGGGAAAGCTTATTGTCCTAATTGATAATT